ATCATTCAAAGTCTCTCATGATTCACTGTACCTTTAAAAATGTTTAGTCCAAAATACTTAAAATATCTAGGTTTTTAGATTGGTCAGTATTGTTTCCCATTAAAAATAATAAATTATTATTGATATGATGAAATTCTTTTTATTAATATTGAATGTAATTTAAGCAACTCCCTATTATCATCCTCAATATTTTATTAACTTAGATATAGATTGATCTAGGCAATGATGTTTAGATATTTTACTACATCATAATATTTTTATAAATTGAATTGTTATTATAAATTTTTTGCAACTACAACAGATGATAAAAATTTAATTCAGTTAACCATAGTATTAATGATTTAAAATCTAATTTGACTTAATGATTTTACTATTCTAGTGAGTATATTGTGGCTGAACCAAATAGAAATGATCATTCAGATAATTTAGGAACCATAATTATAAAATCAAATGGCTACTGAAATATTCTGAATATCAATATTTAATTTGATTAATCAAAATATATATAATTGAACTCTTTAAAATTATTTTCTTAATTAATGTAAAAAGAAGGATTCTTATATAGTAATTTTTATTGTAAATCTCAAGTTTATAATATTTAAATTTAAATTTGCTATTACACATTCTTTTCTAATAGAATTTAGTTTGTATTGTATTAACTATTTTTGTATGCACTTATAAAAAAATAAAGGTGCTTCAACTAAAGTTAAGTCTCAATTAAAAATGATTATTTTTTCAGGAAATACTTAAGATATTTTATTTAGAGAGTTTAATTCATCATTCTGTCTAAATTTTAAAGTAACTTCAAAAAGGATCTACCTTATATAATTAGAGATGGTCGAAAGATATCAGCATTTATTAGGAGAAGTTTTGCAAAAAATTCTATGAGAGAAAATAAATTATTATTTCCTTATATATCTAAAAGTTAGCAAAAACAGTTATGTGTTAATTAAAAAATTTCAATATAAAATTTTTGGCAGTTTTGATGCTATTATATAATTCATGTAATAATAATTAATAACTAATTTTAATAGATGAAAAAAAGATTACCTTTTATTATTATTTTATTCTTCCTCATTTAATATACTGAATAGAATTGCATAAGATCATTCAAATAATAAAAATCAATATTGAAGGGTAATCACAAAAATGTGCTATAATTATAACAAGGATCAATGATATCATCAAAAAAAATAAATATGTTATTGTTTGGGAATAATGGTTCTTTATTTAAAGATAATCCTTATACAATAATGTCAAATGGAGTAGATTTCATTTATTGTCATATTGGTTCAAATATTTCTATTGCACTTATGTAAAAATATTTATTGAACACTTTAAAAATTTGGCTTTAGGAATATGACTATATTTTCTAACAGTAATTCAGGTATTACGATATTATCATTTATACCATATTAAATAATGAAAAAACAAAGATTTATGAAAGCAAATAAGCAAATTGCATAATAACAATAGAATTTCCAGATTAGTTTGTTGAAGAATTTTAAGTCTAGTTTTAAATGTTATCAAAAATAAAATATTATTTTTGGGTGTATTAACGTAGGACGAAATATAGATAAATATAAATGTGCAATAATAAAATCAATTTGGGTTTACATATCATAAAAGCTGTAACCTATAATAAATATTCATGACATTAAAACCTTTTTTACATTATTTAAAATTCATAGGGCAATCTACAAAAATAATTGTCATAGCTTTAGGAATTTAAAGAGTAACATTTATTAAATCTTACATTAGCGAAATAAATAACAAAAAGCAATAACTACATAAAAAACACAAGATTCAGTAATTCTAGAATGAATATTTGCCATCCTGAAAAATGGTAAAGTTTATCATAATTTTTTTGAATAGAAAGAATTATAAATATTAACTCAAAAGTAGTGGTAAAACTTATACAATATTGTGGATAAAATAGTAAACAATTATGTTGAAATAGAATATATAATGTAACTTAATTTTTTGAAACGGATGATCAAATGCAATTTTAGAAATAGTGAGTTGAGAGATTTAAGTGGAATAATGTTAATTGGTTATAAGTTTAAAAAGGTTGATGTAAAATAGGGATTTGAAAACTTATAGAAGAAGTGGATTTATATAACTTAATTTATTTTTACATGGACCCCGGTGTGAATATGGAGATATTAGATTAGTAACCATCGAAATTTAGATTGGCTGAACTGAATATGTCTACTTTTTGTTATGAATATTTTAGCCAAATTTATTGTATATTCAAATTCAAAAAAAATGAAAAGCGACTCAAGATATCCCTCCCAAATATTAACTATTTTAAATAATTGAAATTAAATGAGCTATACAACAATTGTGAATTATGAAATAACACCTATTTAGTTATATTTCTTAGTTTTTGAAGATTGTAAGTGCTTTATTGGTATTTTTTTGTAAATAGTCCAATTTTTATCCTACCAATAAAAGAATATCTTTCTTAAAATCTTTCAAATATAATTGACTATTATTTCTATGATGATCTTTTTAAATAGTGTTAAAATGTTGCTTCTTGTTTAATCTTAACTTGTATAATGATAAATATAAAATAATGATAGGTTTTATAATGAAAATTAAAAATTCGATTCTTTCCAAAGAAATATAGCATAAATAAATGGTTGGGCTATTTAATTTTTGTTAGACATGATAAATATTTTAATTAAATAAATCTGATATATTTTATTCCTAATTTTACAAATTTTTTATGTTCTCTATAGAAATGGACCAGATCAATATTATAACTGATGATATTAGTGTTAATAAAAAAATTAATAATTTCTAACAATACTATGTCTTTTGTTAGCTTATTTATTTTCTCTAATTAATAAGTTTAACATTCTATTTACTCTGATAGTTCAAGAACATTACATGATAATTATACAGTATCCATCTTAAAAAGTAATTCAATTGGTTTATTTTAGCAAATATCTCAATAATCAATACATTCTATACATCCTTGATAGAGGTCAAACATGGATTTTCAAATTAGATATATAATTCTTTTTTAGAGATATCAAGATATGCTAATCCACTATTTATTAGAATCAAAATATATCATGCTGTTGGATGTATTATTTTGTATCACATTCAAATTATAATTCTTATTCCTTACTCTTATAAGTCTATAATTTATTCAAATTCTTTCTTTTCTTCGATTATTGATTTAATTTCTTAAAAGTATAATATTTTCTATATTATTATAAATTAATAGCAATAAAAAGTTTATATACTATTTTAATTTAATTGTAATTTTTTTGATAATACTCATTTCCTCCTAATCAAGAATTCTTGACACTATTGAATACTATTTATTTCACTTAATCCTTTTATATATTGATAATAATATTTAAATTAATATATTTTGGTATAATCCAATTGGACCTATTAATTAATAATGAAATATTATTTATTATTCCTTTACTCTGTAATATACGATATTATAAATGAAGAATTAAATTGTAATATTTAACAGAAAGATCGAATTAAAATATATGATTACTTTTTGTTGTAATTCATCAATAATAAACAAGGGAACTTATTAAAAAAATAGAATTATATACATTATATAATTATTTTTCTCATTTATATTATCAATTATAATATAAAATAAAATACGTAATGATGTATGAAAATCTGCATTTTTAAAACAACAACATATTAGTCGCTGACTATATTAATAAATTTTAAATTAAAATGATGATAAAACCCATAAAAACTTCAAAAAGATGATTTATTTAATTTGGAATTTTTTAATAATTTTTTAGGTTTAATATTTTTTTATTAATTAATGATTGATTTATAATTTGTTTACTCGTAGATATGAAATTTTTGATTATAAGATGAAAAATTCTATATTTATTCTATAATTCAATGTTTAGGTCATCAAAAATTTAATTTTGTTAGGTTCACAAATCTTAAATTTTTTTAGGGTTCTGTGTTTAAAATAAATGCCCTTCTAATTCTATCTATTGTTAAAAATATTTAGAAGAGAATCATAAAGATCACTTAGAGAACTGCAAAGAGTTTGACTAAATAAAAAAAGAATTATTGAATTCAATCAAAGAAAAATACCTTCAATTCAATCAATTAAGCTAATATTAAATTGATTCTTATGAAAAGCAAATAGATGATATACTTTGTCTATTTAATAAAACAATAGCTTAAAAATTAATCCACCTTTCAAACTTAAATAGATGATTTTAATTTTTAATAATTTTTTTAGTAAATCAGCTAAATTAAATTGAACAACAAATTTAATCTTTAGTACTAGTAAAAAAGGATTTCTTATCAAATTAACAACAGAAATTTACAAGTATTCTTAACTACATTTATTTTTAGGTAGCATTATCAAATGTCTTTCAAAAGTAAGTTAATACTGCAAGAGCTTTTTTTAAATATTAGTGTGGCTTATATATATTTACATCTTTATGATTGTAGGATTAATTTTATTAATAATACATATTGATTAGTAAGATCATTTAATTATTTAGTTATGATGACACTGAAGAAATAAACAGGTATTTAAGTATCAGCTAATCAAAGTATTTTACTTAAGGTAATAAATAAAATTATTTAAGCAAACGTTTTAATAGCATAATAGATAAAGTAAAGATATATCAGAAGTAGAATTATAAGGAAGTTATTGATTATTTTAATAAAGGTATTAATTTGCCAAAAAATCACACCTTTGCTTATTTAAGTAAAGATATTGGATTTATGCTTATTTAAAAATCACACTATATTTATTTATATTATGTAGAAATAATATCAAAATTATAAAATTTTATTTATTTATTAAT